GAATGTGATGCACCTAAGTATGTCTAAGATGCATGCAACATGAATGAATTATGTGTTATTCCTTGGATGGAGTCTCGTGCTTTGTCTGCCAATCTGGTCCTTGGAATCGATCGTGCCCCATTCCCTTTTCCGGGCTTTGGCTTTACAGACCTTTCATATCCGAGCTATCCTGTTTGAAAATGTTTTTCTCCTTTTTTCTTGTTTTAGGAGGGAAAATGGTGAAAATTCTGTAAAATATTGTTCGTAATTGAATCAAATTGTAAACATGAGTTCAAAGTATATCAAAGGAATCAATAACACTTTTTATGATTTCAGAGTTACAGGTCTTTGACAAATGCTCAAAGGGATGAGTTGGCTTTAGGTTGGCCTCCTATTTTCTAAGGTTCTGGCAAAAAGAAAAAAAAATGTCATTTTTCTTGGTCATTGAACATGTTTTAACATTTTGGTTGGATGCAGACAAAATGACGCAACTAGCATTATCAACTACTAGGCCTTCTATTTCGGTTCTCCGAAATCTTTCATTTGTTCAAGTTTTGTAGGCTCCTCTAACAAAGGTAGTGTAGAAATATCGGTCTAAAATGAAATTCTTGAGTGCTCGTGTGTAGTTGACTATAACAGGTGTTCCTTAACTCCCTTAGTCCATTTTACCGAAAATTTCTTGCTTAGATAAATTTGATTTAATTTGTCGTTATTTGACTAGCTGAATCCATAAAGCCGGGGCGTTTAACCAATTGCTTTAGAGGGACAGCTTAATATTATAATCACAGTTATCAAGTTAACTGAAGGGTTCATCTCATCACAGAGTCTTCAGCCTGACAAGAGCAGTGGAGCAAACACCGAATTGCCAAGTGTCCGAGCAATGTCATGGTTTGAACGTAATCTACTCATAAGGCCAGGGCTTTCAAGTTTCCTCTATAACCAATTGCCTTAGCGGAATAGCTCAGTTTTTACGGATTTAATTTCCTAAGATTGTCAAGAAGAACATGTTATAGCCTAGGTGTTTTTTTGAAAGTCAAGGAATCTCATCTTTAGAGTTCAATTTTCAAGCAACTGACCTAAACTGGATTCACCTACTCGACTCTTTCATTTGTAAAGATCATCATCGTCATCGAATGTCTTAAATAAAAAACATAGTAATTGTCATAGGCAAATGATGCCCCATGTTGTCCGCACCTTATGAAAGGAAAAGGGTATATTGGTTAATTACAAGAGCAGGGTATGCTGTTTGAGGGTATATTCTGGATTAAGGTCAAAGTCTTTTTTTTTTAAATCATGTTACTTTGTCAAAGATCCGTAACTTTGAACCATTAACAGAGTTTCTTAATTCAAATGATATTCAAAGAATTGCAAGTTTGCAAATGTGATTTATTGCTCGCCATCATTAAAGCAACATAAATTTATTTAAAAGTCCTTGCAAAAACTTGAGAAAAGAATGAAAAAACAAATCCAAACAGAATGGCTCAAATGATGAAATGATATGCCTCACTTGGATGCCCCCAAGTTGTTGAAGTCGATCCGATTCTTGTTACGTATTTTCTGTATGATTCTCTTGATGGTGGAGTAATTCTCGATAGTGCACCCTGGGACTCCGCTATGATTTTCGCAATGAGCGTTCTCATCATACTACCTGGGGTACGGGGCTTCATGGACACCACGTGTGCATCAAACAACTGTTGGTAAAGCTCCTTATATGTCATAGGATCAGAAATTCTCATTTTTGATGAGACATGTGAATGCAATGAAAAAAGGGAATCATAATGCGAATGTAAAGAAAAGTAACAAAATGCACAATATGTCTGAATGTATGATGCATGAAATGTTCGAGGCATTGATCCGAAAAATGTGCCTATTATTCTGAATAATCCTTATTGGGGACAAAAATGTTACGTCTGAAGAGACAAAAAACTTTTTTTGATGGTATAGATCCTGCACAGCCTCTGGAAAGTTGATTCGTCTTCCGCTTTTTCACCGGTTGAATATCCTGTCGAACCATTTCGGTTCCTTTGGCTAAACTTGTGCGGGTGATAAGTTGCTTGCCCCAAAAAAGGTCTCGAATGACTGCATCTCCGGCCTTCACTCTATGCCGAGCTCGTTCCAAACGAAAGTGCCATTGGAACCCTCCATCCGAAGTTTGTCGACTTGTTTTTGGAATTCATCAATGATGGTCTCCGGCTTAGCTAGGGTTTCACCATCTTGTTCTCGTAATTTTTGAAAGGACTCTCCAGGTCAGTAACCATTTCCTCGTCTTGCCCCTGCAACCCTTGCCTCTGAGTATTCTTTGATCACGGTTGGACTTCTGAGCTTTTTGTCTCTTTGTATTATAACTCCTTTGTCCATTAATGCAGATTATTTATGTTTAACAAACACATTTTTGGTGGATCAACACCTCGTTTAAATGATGCGAATGATGAAAACAAAACAAAAGAGAACAATTAATGAAAAAGGTTAGTGATGTGAAAATAATAAAAAGCAATCATGAAAATAAAAGTCCTACCCCACATGATATCTACCCCACATGCTTATTATTCCTACCCGGACATGATCTCTATCCCGCATGTTAATTTTGAACTAGTCCTAACCGCATAAATTTCTAGTTCACATGCTTTGAACAGAAAGTAAAGCAGAAAATAAAATCAAAGCAGCCTAGGGTTTGGAATGAGGTTTCGGGGTGGGCTCTAGTTCTCCATAATCTCCCGGTTTAGGTTCTAAAAAGGTACTCGAGTTCTCCTTGCTGGTGCCCCCTTGGGCTTGTCAGACCCTTAGTCCTAAGCCCATTACAAGCTTGTGTGGACTAAGTTAAACTCGAGAGGACACATTCCCTTATGCCCATACGGAGAATAAATTCACACGAAGGCATAAGGTATATGAATCCCGAAGGCTACTTGCTAGGCATATGCGGTGAATAAATTCACACGAATGCGTCGCTTTCACCCCCACTCAAAACGGGTTTGGAGCTCGGGTTTAGAGCTTAGAGATGACAATTTTGAAAAAATCTGAAATCATTAAAAAACGTTAGTACAACTATTTATTTGAAAAATAACCAAAGGTAAATAATTAGAATCAAATAAACAAATTAAAATTTAGACTTGTAATTTTCGCTAAAAAAAGACAACCGGAAATTAATTTCGGCCTGACTCACTTACCTCTCCCCAGCAGAGTCGCCAAGCTGTCGGAACCGTCTTTCGGTAGGGCCCCGGAATTGGGCTTCGACTTGGAAAATGTGGTTAGAGTCGCCACCGACCACTTTAAAACGAATTTAGGTGGGCCGTACACCATCTTTCCTGATCTGCCTTGTACCAGAAACGTATCGGGTTCGGGAGTCGGTTACGGTCAAGGAAGGATTAGCACCCTTGAATCGCCCTTTCGGTACCAATTAATTTATCAGTTGTCTTAATTTAATTGCGAAAAATTAAAATTAAAATTAGAATTTAAAAAATTAAATTCAAATCATTTACCTTTGATCGATATGAAAAAAATCCTCTAAAAAGAAAAAAAAATGTTATATAAGAGATGTTAAATAAATATTAAATAAACAAAAGAGATGAACTAAAATAAATAAATAAAATAAAAATTTAAAAGTAATAACATAAATGAAAATAAAAGTGGACCCATAATAAATGAAGGACCAAATGGAGAATTTACCCAAATCCTTGGTCACATGGGGTTTTGTTTTATTTCACGTGTACAGGAGCCTTTGCATTTGCAATTCAATTTAAAACATTCCCTTGTTAGTGCTCTTTTCCTATTCAATGACATGCTTGGCAACCATTAGTCAAAAGCTTCTTTCTCAAGTCTCTATCATCATTACTAGCTCTGGATCAATCACCATTATACGCCACATGGACAAATAACATGTTTAATCTGCAAACATTTATTCTGCAGAGCAAGAGCAACATCTTCCTCATACATTGCCATCATGCTATATATATGAACACAGGCACACATCCATTTTTCCTTGAGGCAAAGGCGCAGGGAATACTTAACATCATAAAATAAATCAAGTCCGTTCTCTTGCTCAACTGTTTCTAGATAATTCCAACAACCGAGGTCATAAAATCCAGATCAGCATCCATGCAAAACAAAAATAGAAATGTTACCAGTGTGGTCTGGATCCCACATCAAAGCTGACTTTATCGACGAGTGAGTAGTAGGGATCGAGGCATGTTGGGGCTAAGAAAGGAGATTGAGATTTTGAGGCTTCTGTGTCTCGTTTAGACTTCTTGGGCAGTCGTTGAAGCTGGTCGAAGGGGAACTTTGTCGTCGAGTTATGACCGAGCAGTGTTGAGGGTTCGTTGTTTGCCCAACTACAGGGCCACGGGCCACGGGCAGAGCTTCCGCTTGCTCTGGGATGCCAGAATACAAATATTCAACAGCTCTCTCTGGGTTGTTATAAGCTGCTCGAAGGGCCCGGACAACGGTATCCCTATCCCAGGTTCCTCCACCCATGTCCAGAATTTGTTGGATTGCTCCCTCCAAGTTGTTTCCTGCTAACAGATTAGAAGATGCTTGGCCATAAACATCAGTTTCTGACGCAGTGGTATTTGATGCCAGAGGTGCAAATTCAGATACAGGTGCAGCAACTGCTGAAGTCTCAACAGGTGTAGAAGAAACTGTTGCTGGAGCCGGAGCTGGTACCGACGCTGGAGCCGGGGCTGGTGCCGATGATGGTGTACTTGTCTGAGGAGCCAAAACTAGATCTTATTTTAGCTGTAGGAGCTGTTGAAGCAGTTGCACCCCCACCAGATGAACTCTTATTCTTTGTCAACATGATGACAATAAAGCTATTTTCAGCAACACTGTTCTCAGCCAATGTCGTATCATCTTTAAGAACTTTCCCCTTATGGATAAGCATTTGTTGTGAAGCAGGATAAACATCTGATCCTTGAACTGTTTCTATGTTCTTTTTTACGTCAGCTACCTCAGAATGCAGAACTTCATTCTCATTCGATATCGAAGTGAGTGCCCTTGAGAGTCTTGACGAAAATCTTCATCTTCTGCTAATGGATCTCTCTCGCACACTCTGGTTCTTTTTTCCTTTTTTCCAGTGCTCACAGGTATCTCTCGTGTCCCCATTTTTGAATACCCCTTTTTCCTTCCATTCTCTGTGTATTTATAGTGCTAATTCGGTTTTAGACTCCCGTTAGGACTAAAACTCTTGCTTTGCTTGTGGCGAGGATTCCGGTGACGTGGATGGAGACGTGAGGCGAGAGGAGTCTTCGGGTTGACCGTGGAACTCGGCTGGCAGTTCCCCCCTTGCATGTTGGCTGCAACGCTGAAGATGTAGAAGACTAGGTTTTCTGTTGGGCCATTGTGTACAGGGCCTTGGAGTTTAAACTCATTTGTAGTATTGAACCTGAAAAATAAAATAGCAAATGAATAATAATATATAATGATATAATATAATAACATGTATATAAAATATAAAGTCGGACGAAAATGCATGTCGACAAATCGAACTGGCCAAAATTGGTTTAACTGATTAAAACAACCAAGACAGCTTTTTAAAGAAGGAATTAGTTTTTATTTTTAAAACTTTTAAATGGAAAAAAAGCATTGATTTCTTTATAATAGTATAATTTTAATGTTAAAAGAATGTTTACTAAGGATTGTGTCTATGATAACTTATTAACAATTACCTCCTAATTATTAATCTTTACATTTAATTTTAAGGGCAAGGTATATAAATAGTCCTTGAACTTTTAGTGCACTTGCATTTTGGCCATCCAACTTTTAAAACTTGCAACACAGTCACTGAACTTTTAGTTCGTTTCCAGTATGATCCCTGACGTTACCTCCCGCTAGTTTTGTCTGACGTGGCACGTTAACTCCGTCAACCCATCTTCTTCTTCCTTCTTTCCTTCCTTCCAACTTTCTTTCTTCCTTCCTTCCTTCTTTCTTCTTCTTCTCCTTCTCCTTCTCACACGTTACTTCCCATCTCTTCTTCTTCTTGAAGAAGAAGAAGAGATGGGAGGTAACGTGCCACGTCAGATAAGATTAACAGAGGAAACGGCAGGGATTTTATTGAAAATGAATTAAAAGTTCAATGACTATATTGCAAGTTTTAAAAGTTAGGTGACCAAAATGCAAGTGCCATTAAAATCAGGGACTATTTTGTATACTTTACCCTAATTTTAATTATTATATCATTTTATAACATGAGATGTGAGTTAAGATTAAATCATGACGTAAAATTATTAATATCAATCCTATCGATTTACTTAATTTTTCACTCATCAATCTCCATTCATCACATGATATATTAAAATAACGCATGGCATTTAAATTATATCTTCTTCAATTATTTTTTTATGTTTTACTTTTGACTATCACCCAATTATTTTTTATTATGTTGATGAGTTAAATAACGTTTTTAAAGTATTTATGTTCAATATATACATATATAAAATGTTTAAAGAGTTGTTGAGAGAAGGATAAGATTAAGGGTTAATGGCTCGATGATCAAAATATAATAAAATCGATAATATAATTGATTAAAGTTTAATTAATCGATAATATAAGTGATTGTAACATAACATTTTCAAAATTTGTGATTAGAAGTGACCAAAACTGAAACAAAAGTCACCATTCAGTTAGTTTACCCTTTTTTAGCCCTATTTCTCTAAAATGTCCACTCACTGTTTTGTTCCTTCGACTGAAAATGGCAATCAGTTAATCCGACACAGATTGAAAACATGACATGATTTGCTTCATCCTATGTTCTTTGCAAAAGTTTTTAATATTGCAGTATGAGGAAAATGAAGACTATTTTCTCGGGTGTTTTCCAGGATTTCTGGGATTCCCAGAAAACCTTTGTTTCATTGTCCTCAACACCTCCAATCTCTTGTTTTTACAGCTAATTCTCACTCTTCCATTGATTCTAATCCGAAGGTACATTCAAAAAAGCATTGTTTTTCCATTGTTTTTTTAACGAGAAAAAAGACAGATTCTGGGTTTCAAATATTGGTAAATTTGGATTCAGCAATCATAATCTGAAGCTGAAAGTCGATTCTTTTTTCCAGGAAAAAGTGGATCCATTTTCCCTTGTTGCTGATGAAATCTCACTTGTTTCAAACAGGTTGCGTTCATCTACAGTTTCCGAGGTATTTTCATTGCTATGTCTTGTCTTTTTTGGCTGTTTAGTAAAAGTTTATATGCTCAGAAGGTTGCCGGAATCGAATTTCCGATGCATAAGTCAGTTAAAAGAAGCATTAAGATTTACCCGAACAGTGACCTTTCTCACTAGATCTCAATAAATTAGATGTTTTAGATAAGTTTGATTACAATGAGGATGATATTGAAACATGAATTTCTATGTCATTTAGGTCCCTGAGCTTGCCTCGGCTGCTCGATATTTCTTCGAACATGGAGTGGAAGGGAAGAGAACATGTTCCATGGTAATAAGAACATTACTAAATGTTTTATGTTTTATGTTCCTTTGATGCTCATGAGTACATTTCACATGCATAAACAGGTAACTAAACACTACTAAATAGCTTTGTTCAATCTCCAACCAAAAGAAACCGAGGGATGTTGTGTATTCGATGTTCCCACCTATGTTACTTGCACTTAAATGAGTGTGTTGGTTACCAGTACTCGGTTCTTAGAGGATCAAAACAGGGGTACTTCAAGGTGATTTTCATACTTTTTTGCAGGTTTTGTTGTTGATGGCCAAATCAATGGATATACATAGACCCGAATCATCTTTTAGTTGCATCGGAGATACATCGAGAGTTGAACTGTGTCGGAAACAGCAACTTATTGCTGAAATAACCGAGATGATCCATGTTAGTTCTTCGTCTCCGAAGCAAACAGTACCTCATTCCAGGCACAGTCCAATAATCTTTGCATCAAACAGTTCTCATGTGGAGAAACATTTCTGTATCCATTGTTAGACTGATCTAATAATCTTTGTGAATTCAGGTGGCTAGTGTAATTCATGATGACATCTTGGATGATGTGAAAACGAGACGAGGCGTCAGTTCGTTAAATTTTGTGGTCGGAAATAAGGTAACCAAATACATACATCTTATGTTAATCGAAAAACATTCATAATTTTTAGTACTCATCCCTGGCTATTAATCTATATGATGCAGTTAGCAGTGTTAGCAGGGAATTTTCTGCTTTTTCGAGCTCTAAGGGCCCTTTCTTCCTTGAAAAACGAGGTATGTAGGTACAATTGTCCGAATATGAAGAAAGCTCGAAAAATCGAGCGTACCCGAGCCAGAATCATACCTATATCCTACACTTTCCCATTTCAAACTCATTATTTGCACTGCAGATTGTATCATTACTAGTTACTGCAGTCGAGAATCTTGTTACCGGTGAAGCCATGCAAATGGCTGCAACGGTCGAGCAGCGCTGTAGGTAAGATGCCGAGTTGGACCGACTCTTCATTTTTTTTTCTGAAGTATTTTTATCCGATTCTCGTGTCTAACTGAAAGATATTGGAAAAAAAACTTTTTAATTGCAGCATGGAGTATTATATGCAAAAGACATACTACAAGACTGCATCATTGGTCTCCAACAGCTGCAAGGCCATGGCCCTTTTATCCAATCAAGCACCCGAAGTTGCAATGTTGACTTTTGAATACGGCAAGAATTTGGTCTGTAAACTTCTTAAAGACCATCCTCTCGATTTTACGATCCGTGTTCCAGTACATACGTGTATCGAATATACGTTCAGTTTGTGTTTTACAGTTCATATTTCTTTGGCCATTTCCTGATTCTCTTTAATCCGTTTCCCAGGGATTGGCATATCAGCTCATAGACGATATTCTCGATTTCACAGGCACATCAGCTTCATTAGGAAAGGGTTTGTTATCGGACATACGACAGGTAATTTGTCTAACAACATCGTGTTATATCTCTTTGGCCCTGCATCTACATCTCTATGCGACATATATTCGAACAACTACATGTTCTGTTGATTCCATTTTTTTTGAAACCCTTTTTCGAGTACAAATGTTGACGAACTTGATCCGATCTTCGCAGGGAATCATAACTGCTCCTATAATATATGCCATGTAAGAGTTTCCTCGTTCAAAGCCGTGATCGAGCAGGGCTTCGACAACTCTGCCAATATAAATACGGTAAGTTCAAATTCGCAGCTCAATGCTACTTCAAATCAAACCAGTGGAAGTTTTGGTATTGATATTGAGACACTTGAGTACCTGTGGAAGAGCAAGGGAATACAAAGGACGAAAGAACTGGCGACGAAGCATGCTAATCTTGCTGCAGCAGCCATCGATTCTCTGCCCAAAAGCAGCAGCTCGGACGTAAGGAAATCAAGGCAAGCGCTCATTAATCTCGTTCGAATACTCACAATTAGGAATAAATGAGAACAGCCGAATCCCAACTTCCTTTCGTTAAACCGTTGTTATCCCACATCGATTAGAGTATTCCGTATTACTCTTGTTGGATGCTTAACATGGTATTAGAGCCTCGGTTCTGTTGTTACCCATGCCCAATATTGAAAACTGAATACTACTTTCTAAAATTATAAACTCATGGTATTATATATTTCAAAAATTCTAATTTTTCAGAATCTTTCCAGTGATTTCAATGACAAAAAAGAGTTGTTTTCTTTAGAAGTTTCGAGTTCAAACAGTTGTATCTATGAGATATAAATGTATTGTCCATAACTAAAAAAGATTCTGAACATATATTATCTTGTAACCATTTCATACTATTAAAAAAAAGAAAATTAAAAGTATCTCTCATACAAAAATTTCTTCTAAACTCTTTAACCATCATTATTTTCTATCTCTAATTTTATAATTTTTCGTAAACATCTGCAAGGATGAATTATTTTGATCCATAGTCTCCATACAAACAAACAAAATTTATAAATTATGACCATAATTTCAAAAATCTAACTTTATTAATTTGAACAAGAAAAGAAACTCAAATACAACCTATTACTATTTCTTTTTAAGAAACTAATTTATTTTATTATTTGGTGGATAACTCCCTTTGGGATTGTCTTCTTAGCGCTTGGGACACCCCGGTAAAATATGACCAATCGTCATCTAATTGTATTTGTACGTAGCTGCTACGGGTGGCATTTATATTTTAGACAAAAAGTTTATTTGCACCAAATACCACAAACTATGGTTAAGTTCTAGATTAGTCCCTAAATTTTACATAAATATCACATTAAACATATTTAAAATATATTAAGACCAAGTTATAAATATATGTGTATTTGTCGTATGAATTATTTGATACGATATATTAAAAAAACATACTATGAGAATAAAACTTAATAGGAGTGCTTTTAAAGATGCTAACGTGGTTCGAATATAATTTTAACATAATTTAATTTAATATGAATTCGATCTTAAAAATAAATTATATATTTGATTAATAAAAATGACTCAAATAATTAAAAAAAAACAATAATTTGGTTAACCTATCGAGGCACAATAGATTTGGTCTAAACCCATTAAAAAATTTTAATAAAAAATTAATCCTACCCCAAAACACAATTCTTTTTATAAAAAAAAAATCCCATAAGATTGGATCGAAATCCATCATTCGAATATTTTTGCTATTCTTTATTTATTTTTGATATATCATATTCAAATTGTCTATATAATAAGATTATACATATATAAAATTTGACCCATACATTTTAAATATACTTCACATATGATTTAAACTGCCTTTTATTGCTGAAGTGAATGGATACAATAATGATAATTTGAAGAGTCAATCAAAAACATTTTGAAGTTAGGGACTGGATTACAATCTATTCTATAGCTTGAGGACATTTAGTGAAGTTAACCCGAAAATAAAATAAGATAATGGTATACATTTATAATAATTTGTTGTATTTTCTTCTTTATTTAGCTTCTGTATGTAAATCGGTTGTTTGTCTCCTCTGTCTCTCCTTTAAACTGATAAACTCTTTCCTCGAGAATCTGAAACTCCAAATTCAAAAAGAAAAACAAAATTTCCCTTAGAATTTCATATATTTTTGTAAATATTTCATTTTTCTTCAATTTGGAAATTGGTTTTGATTTTGGTATGGCGATGTTATTGGAAGATATTGTACAATCCGTGGAGATGTGGTTGAAGCTGATTAAGAAACCTCAACCTTACGTTGACCCGAATTTGGACCCGGTTTTATTAGTTCCGGGTATTGCCGGGTCGATTTTGAATGCCGTGGATGATCAAAATGGGAAAGAAGAACGGGTGTGGGTTAGGATCCTCGGTGCCGATTATAAGTTCCGGACCAAGCTCTGGTCTCGTTTTGATCCTTCTACTGGTAATTTTTTATGTGTGTTTTTTGGCGATAAAGATTTTTAGTGGAATTGTTGAAACTAGAAAGTGTTTATATTGTTGAGTATTTTGGGGAATTTTAAGAAACTTGAGAATCTTATATTCATAATCATTAGAATCAGCTGTTGCGTGTTGGGATCTGTAAGCTAATATTTGGTTCAAAGAACTTTCCATTGAATTTAAGTGTGATTTCTTTTTAATGAGAGTCGATTTCTTTCCCTTTTTTTTGTTGAAATTTTGTGGAGCGATTATGTAATTGTGGTTTCATTGTTTGTGAAACAGGTAAAACTGTATCCTTAGATCCAAATACAAGTATTAAAGTCCCTGAAGGAAGATATGGACTTCAAGCCATTGATGTCTTGGACCCTGATATGGTATAAGCTGGATGCATGCATGCATGCATGTATATATTCCCCTTAGTATCATGTAATATACGATCCAAGAAGTTTTATTTGATGTTAACCCCAAAAGCTTGAAATTTCTTGCCCTTAACTAATGTTAGATTTCATTTTGTATGAAGTTTTCTGTCAGTGAAAACGAGACTCGATGTTTCGAAATGCTAAGATAACCCATATATAAACCTTAAGTTTGAATGGAACCTAATGACAATGAAACTAATGATGGGTTTTGACGAACTTTTCCTTTTGATGCAAGATCATCGGTCGTGAGTTTGTTGGTTATTTTCATGATATGATTGTTGAAATGATCAAGTGGGGTTTTCAAGAAGGCAAAACACTTTTCGGTTTTGGTTATGATTTTCGTCAAAGTAACAGGTATAATAAATTATTAACTCGATAATTGTTTCTCTTCCTTGTGTAGTATGGTGGCCTTATTTGTCCTTGTAATTGAAGGTTTGTTTTCAATGGGTTGATTGTTTTTCCCCCTCTCTTTTAGGCTGCAAGAAACAATGGACTGTCTGGCAGCGAAACTAGAGTCCGTGTACAATGCTTCAGGAGGGAAAAAGATAAATATCATAAGTCATTCTATGGGCGGCCTTCTGATAAAATGTTTCATGGGCCTTCACAGCGACGTAAGGAATCCACTCCCATCTTCTTCTATGCCCTTATTTTTCATCTTTTCCTTGTTCTGCTTCTCCATTTCTCTCATATCTATATACGGTTTAGTATTGTATCTCTTTGTGATCTACTGCTGCTTTTCTTCTGCAGGTTTTTCAGAAATATGTGAAGAACTGGATTGCAATTGCTGCACCATTCCGGGGTAGGTGGTCTTTGTAAATTGAGTAGAGAACAAGACACTTTAACAATTTCAGTTTAACACTTTAACTATTGTTCTATTCCGGGTTCAGAAACATTATCCATCTCAATGTCCACTAAAGAATCCAATAGTTCAGGCAAAAAAGAAAGAGATGACCTAGTATTTAGATAGCTTGATCTAATTTCAACTCAACTCCTTATTGAGATGCAATTTAAATGTTTCCAACAGGTGCACCTGGATATATTGCTTACACCTTTCTAAATGGAATGTCATTTGTTGACGGGTGGGAACAAAATTTTTTCATTTCAAAGTGGAGCATGCATCAATTGGTATGTGATTATTTTCTAAATTACTTTTGTCATTTTCAGCATTTCTACTTGGTTAGATGCTATTGAGGACATTAACTATCCTATTGATATGTCCATCACTTACGAATGTAGAGTCTGTTAAAATGTCTCAACACTCTCACTTAATTATGCAATCCTAATTCTTCACTCTTCATTTTATGTGGTTATTTCAAGTCGTTGAAATCGTCTACCAGCTGTTACTTGGGCCTTATGAGATAAGCTTCTCAACTTGAATTAAGAGTGGTTTACATTTAGGCCAAAACTTTTGATTAGTTGGCTTAAAGGAAAACAAGTAATCTCAAATGAAGTTGTAATTAAATGGAAGATTGTGATTGCATTATGATGTTGCTACAGTCTAGTATATTGAAATGTTTATGTATATTTTGTCATGTCGGTGCTCTTCATTGTTATTTTGATATTAGTTTGAGTTGTTTATTTCTGTGCTGCATCATTCAGCTGATTGAGTGCCCCTCGATATACGAGTTAATGGCTTGTCCACATTTCCATTGGCAACATACGCCTCTTCTTGAGATATGGAGGGAGAAAGAAGGTTGTGATGGAATTCCTCGGACTATTCTAGAGTCCTATCGTCCTCGAGATTGCATTGATATTTTTAAGGAAGCTCTTTCTGGGAACTCGGTAAGCTATGAACATTGATTGTGCAAGAAGGAAGTTAATTAGTCTTAGGTGTGAGTCCATTGCTAAAAAAATAAATAAATAGAGAAGGAAAAGCTTCATTGATGAGTTCCAAGTGATTGCTTGCATTTTTTAATTTCAGGTCGACTATGATGGGGAGATGATTCCACAACCTTTCAATTTGGAGATCTTGAAATGGGTTAAAGAGACACAAAAGGTGTTGTCTCATGCTAAGGTTCCTTCCGGAGTTAAATTCTACAATATATATGGGATGAATCTCGAGACACCACACAGCATTTGGTGATGCCTCTATTCCATTGTTTTGTTTAAATCGCTCGATGATTATTTCTGTTTCAGTTACAAACTTCATATTATTTGTGGTATTTTTGTACTTTGGGTTTTAGTTTTTAATTTAATAATTTTGCAGCTATGGAAGTGAGGAGACACCGGTCACAAATATGCAAGACTTGCGGTTCTTTCAGGTGATTCTTGTTGTGCTGTAATTCAAAGAACTTGTAAATCAGCCCAAATATACAATATTTGCAGATTTCATTGCTGAATTTCTTCTATATATCAGCCCAAATATATATGCGTCGACGGTGATGGAACGGTTCCAACAGAATCAGCTAAGGTCAGTACCCCAATTAACTAATTTACTCCAACGACCTCGTGGACAACACTATTATCTTTACAAATTTAGAATTTGTGCGATTTATGTATCAAGTAATCCATGTAATCTATGCGGTTTCCCGAGTATGAAGAATGTCCGGCTGACCATAGTCTTTAGATTTCAGTCAACCTCATCCTTTGATAAGCAAGTTATATACAGAATAATTGTTGAGTGATAAATATTATTTTCTAATTCGATGACGGATGATCACACCATTATTAATTATAGTAGATATTGCATGTCCAATTATTCTTTCTGGATTCTAATCTTGTGTCTCATGCGACTGAAATGGCGATATCTCTAACTCATTTTTGTTCTTGTTACTTTCAGGCAGATGGACTACATGCTGAAGCTAGGGTCGGAGTACCCGGCGAGCATCGGGGAATTCTTTGCGAACCTCACGTATTCCGAATTCTCAAACATTGGTTAAGGGCAGGTGATCCGGACCCTTTCTACAACCCGGTAAACGATTATGTTATTTTACCAACAGCATTCGAAATGGAAAGCCACTGCGAGAAGGGCTTGCAAGTTACTTCACTCAAAGAGGAATGGGAAATCATTCCCGAAGATCAAGACGATCCCGGCAATGCGGCTGGTAGAAAACCAGTCGTTAGCTCGATTTCCGTTTCGCAAGGGGGAAATAAGCAATCCTCAAGGTCTGAAGCCATGGCAACCATCGTTATTCATCCGCAAAACGAGGGTAAGCAACACGTCGAGCTAAATGCCATAAGTGTATCTGTTGATACCTAGATTCGGACTCCTATTAAAGAAAGCTTTCTTCTGTTTCCCTGTAACTCTTGTATATTAATTATGTGTTTGTAAATGGAAGACTTAACATATATTTTAATGTATATATTATAGTATTATATATTATTACAAATTTATTTTTATGTGTTATAAATTATATAACATATATTATATATATAATTAATATTAGAAGTGCCTTCTCGTTCAGGGTACAATCGAACTCAATTCTGTAATAATTGAGATCCAATGTGATTACTAAATAAATAAAACATGAACTTAAGTATAAAATGATGCTAATATTAGAAGTTGAAAATGAATGAGATTTTTACGAAAAAATAAATAATTTTAATTATTAATTTATATTTATGTTTATCTAATGATTTTAAATTAGTGTAGAATGTTTTAATTTTTATACTATATAAATAGATCTTATTCTTATATATAATTTTCGTTTTTATCTTTTATTTTTTATTTTGTCGTTGCAAGAAATAAATAAACAGCGACGCTTAGTACATTCCGTCGGGAAATGTTTGTTGTACTAAAGCATCAGCTCGTAAAGTTAGGCGCAGATCTAAGAGCCGAAATGCAAAAAAGAAAAATTAAATAATCCATAGCCTTTTATATATGGACCATCCTCTAAACCGAATCTCTAAATTTAATATCTCATTCGGTTCGCATAATTATCTTTAAAAGATAACATTTAGTTTTTAATGAAAAATCATATTTAATAATTTTAAAAATTTAATCACGATAAACTTCTTTTAATCTCAAAAGGGATTTTCGACCCTCAAATAAGTCCAATATTTATCTCTTAAAAGTCGTTTACCAGCGCGGTTTATGAAGAAATGTATAGTGTGTTATGTGTCTCGGCTAGATTGTAGAATAAAAAGGTTTCAGAAAAGATAAATCAGTGAAAAACTAAAGAGTTTGCACACGAAAAAAACTCAGTCCTGTGACCTTTACATATAGGTTATTAAATAAGGGAGATAGGTACCACTTTGCTTGCATCACTATTTAATCCATTGGAAGAACTTCAATTGATCATTAAAACCCCAAACCCACATCTGCGAATCTTCAACACAGATGGGAACCATTACGAATAAGCTTATTGTCACAGTTTCGATATTGTTTCGGGTTTTATCCATCTGTTGTGCTCAGAATATCGCTGCATTTTTCGTCTTCGGAGATTCACTGGTCGAAGCCGGAAACAACTTTTACATCGACACAGTGGCTAAACCGGTGTTTCCTAATGGTATCGACTTCCCGAAAGGCACTCCGTCCGGACGATACACGAATTCCCGAATAATTACAGACGTTATAGGCAAGTATCCGCGAAATTCTCTTTATAAAAAGGGATTGCAGAATGTAGACGACGTGACATTACGATCATTGTTTTGCTATTGATATTTGTTGCACTCGTTATACGATTCCAAATCAGACTTATGTATGATATAAACATAATATATTTCTATCAACATTATGAACATAATATATAGGTACATTAGAGTGAGATATCTAAGCATGGGTTTTAAATATGGAAATTCAATTACATGTATATCTTAAACGGGCTTAATTTTCTTTACTTAAATTGGTTTTTTTATTTATCTTAAATATGGAACATATCTTCTGATTTGGAAAGATGACTCGACTCGTGCTTTTGGTTAATTTGATTAATTCTGTGTGTTTGGACAGGTGAGGAATTGGGTTTCAAAGATTACGCTCCTCCTTTCTTGGCACCTAATATTACTGGAGATATGATTTTGAAGGGTGTTAATTATGCCTCCTCTGGAGCTGGAATTTTACAAGCTACTGGATCAATCTTTGTAATATTAATTTCTTCCCCATTTCTATGTATTAGTAATATGAACCCGAAACTAAATGGTACTTTTGTAGGGTGAAAGAATTTGCATGGATAGACAATTGGATTACTTTGGCAAGACTAGGCAAGACATCATATCCAAAATTGGTGCACCAGCGGCTCAAGCACTGCTCAGAAACTCACTCTATTTTCTTTCAATTGGGGCCAACGACGTCTTATTCGGAGAATATGAAACTCTTGACCGCAACAGCTACACAAATGAAGTAGTTTCCAATTTCAAATCCCAGATCATAGTAAGATCTTCTCCTTCTTCAGTTACGATTATTAATTCCGCTAAAATCCCACCAGACACGTCTAGAGGTTTACTCGATTTAATCACCGAGTACTAACTATCTTCGATCTATGTAAATTACAGAGACTTTATAACATGGATGCCAGGAAGTTCGCGGTAGCCGGGGTCTCGAAAGTGGGTTCCATTCCATTCGAGATCGATACACATATATGTGCCCAGAATTGTGCTGAGTCATTGAACAACTTCGCCAAGTTATTAAACTCGAAATTAAAGAGCTTGGTCGAAGATCTCACCAACAGTCTCGCGGGATCGATACTCATTTATGTCGATAATTATGCAGTAACCGAAGAAATCATTAACAACTCTAGATCATACGGTGAGATTCATCAATGGACTTTTGAATTGGGATTTGGAAGTGTCCATGAGCTTGGTTTCTTTTTCTTTTTCAGGATTTGAGAATGTAGATTATGCTTGTTGCGAAGTGATCGGGAGACACGGCGGTCTAATTCCGTGCATGGAGGTGTCTCGAGTTTGTTCCGACCGGAAGAAGTATATGTTTTGGGATCCGTTCCATCCGACGGAGTCGGCGATTTTAATTGCGGCAAAGTATATATTGGATGGTGGTACCGAATATGTTTCACCCATCAATATCCGACAGCTTGCTAATTCTTAATGTCGACGTTTCATCGTCTGATTTATTGATAATGTATGACTTAAACACTTGTTGTGGGTAGAATATAAACCTATATATTTCGTTATTATTCGAATAAATGTAAAAGTAAAAGAAATATTTCATAATATCATTCAAGAACTAGTGATGACAAATACCTTTCACGTTAATAAAATATATATATTAAATTACTAAATGCTAAATAAAAAATATTATATAACCTTTAAAAATTAAAACTAAATGCTCAAACAAGTTTAACTATCTATAGATTTGGGTATGTTGGGATAAAATTTGAAACCCTCGCCGTTGAGTTAGACTGAACTTAATTTGATCTTGCTATATCCATCCCCGCCTCGGACTGTAAGATTAATATCACTCTCCTTCCACTACACACGTAGATCTTGAAACCCACCAAAATTTTACTATATGCGTCTCACGATCTTTTTTATATGTTATATATATAAGTATTAATTTAAAAAATATATAAATGATTTTTTATGAAAAATATACGAAATATTTATCTTTCGGGCTCTCACCACATATGCAACATTATTCTAATAGTAGCCATTTTTAAAAGTAATAAGTAGTCATGACTCTTTAATTGATAAATTACAATATAATTTTAACACGGGTTGAAAAAAAATATAAAATAAAGTCCTTATATAACATCCAAATATAAATGATGATGCTAGACGAGTAAGGATAAGGGAGATACAAGGTTATACTCATGTTTATCCCACCACTTATGACAGGTCTAATTTTTTTTGTCTCGTCCCCGTCCTATCACCCTTAAAATTTCAATTTATACTCAAACTCTTACTCTTTGTTTGATCATGAATAATTAAACTTGACGTTTAACAGGTTGAGCTCGGATCAAATTTCAAATCTCGATTATCCAAAGACACAATAGGACTTAAAAGATCTAAATTCAAAAATCAAAGTCCAAATCGAAATAAATCTGAAAATCAAACCCTAAAAGGTAGCGCAGATCTATGAGGCGAATTTTTCGAAGAAATGGGGCATACTATAATTTATAGCATTAGTACTATTAACCATAGACCATAACTAAAATAAAATAATTAAAGAAAATATTGATGAGCCTTTCGATTCCTTCATGCTACATATGCTATGATTATGATTATATTTATTTAATTAAGTTTTGACATATTTAAATATTTTTTTAATAGTTTGGTGATTACAAGGTAGTATATGTTCATACTTTTTTTAACTATTAACATCACATACCCTATAAACGCAACTGCTCGAATTCAGAACCTCAAAAAATAAAACAATATAAATCATTAAATGTTTTAAAAATTATTGTATTATATGTAATTTCTTATTCATTGACGATGCATAAAATTATATACCGTCAATGAATAATAATCATAAAAGAAACATATATTAATCTTTAAATATCCATTTCTTGAATTAATTACATTTTTTTTAATTAGTTCCTATTTGGATTTGAATAATAATATTTAGATTTAATTCAAAAAATAAATTTAAATTTTAAAATAAATTTATAAATTTGAAATCGAAATTGAATTTTACTTTAGCTAGTTGTCATCCCTTTTAATAATTTAGGGTTTTAAGTTTTCTTCCAAGCAGGGAACCACAACCAAAATAAATAACCACTCAACAATAGTATAAAAATAACAATGGTAAGGTTATAATCTTCAACACATATACGTATTGGGGAACGAATGGGCACCATTTCAAAGAAGCTTGTAATAATTTGTTTAATGCATCAGATTTTAGCCATCCATATATGGCTACCCACCATCTGTTTTGCCCATAACATTACTCATTTTTCATCTTCGGAGACTCACTGGTCGAAGTCGGAAATAACTATTACATCGACACATTGGCAAAACCAGTGTTTCCTAATGGTATCGACTTCCCGAAAGGCACTCCGTCCGGACGATACACAAACTCTCGAATGATTACTGACGTTTTAGGCAAGTTTCTACAAATTATTTCTTCTTCTAATGAGTAGATCATAACAGCGTGGCGTTCCGATCACTATTTTAGGGCCAACACTTGCTTACACTCGTTATGTTATTGAGTATTCATGGATCAGGCTGGACCGAGTTTGAGTTGGACTCGTGTATAGTATCGACATTCTAACATTCTATTATGATTGTCCAAACCCGATTCGATTTAAATTATCTCAGGTTTAAATCTTGTGTTTGAAACAGGAGAACTTGGTTTCAAAAATTATGCTCCTCCTTTCTTGGTACCTAATACAAGTGGAGATATGATTTTGAAGGGTGTTAACTCTGCCTCCTCTGGGGCTGGAATTTTACAGTTCACTGGCTCAGCCATGGTAAGATTATATAGGTTCATTATGGGGATCTCGTACTCTCATGTCGTTATACCAATGTAATTTTTTAAAATACACTGTGATTATCGACTGATTCAAAAAAAAAAAAACTGTTAGATTTAACAGTCGACGCTTTTCAAATGAGTACATTGATGAAATTTCAGAATATAAAAACCTAATCGGTGAAAAGAAAAGTTCTTAATTGATTTTTTTTTTCTTTCAATTTTTGAAGGCTTTTGACACCCTTAAGTCTTTTCTATTCGAATGTTTTACGAAGATTTCAAACTAAAATTGGTGAAAATATTATATTTTTGCAGGGTGAACGAATTTGTATGGATACACAAATGGATTACTTTGCAAAGACTAGGCAAGACATTATATCAAGAATTGGTGCACCAGCGGCTCAAGCATTGCTCAGAAATTCACTCTATTTTCTTTTAATTGGGTCCAATGATATCTTATATGGAGAATATTCAATTCTTGATGTGAACCAATTTGTGGATGAAGTAGTTTCCAGTTTCAAATCCCAACTCATAGTTATATATTCTTGTCCATTGCTCCCAAAATATGATTTTAATTCCGATCAGTCGAGTGAAAGTCGGTTAGGTTTTTTTTTCCTGAAGACCTTCCCCTGCTTCCACTCGGACAAAAAAGACCTAAACGAGATCCGATCTTTAACGATCTTTGATCTGTGTGAATTGCAGAGACTTTATAACTTGGATGCTAGGAAGACTGCGGTGTCGAATGCCCCGAAAGTCGGTTGCATGCCATTCGAGATCGACGCGCATATATGCACCCATGATTGTGTAGCATCGTTAAACGAACTAGCCAAGTTATGCAACTCTAAATTGAAGAGTATGCTCGAAGGTCTTACGAAAAATCTTACGGGATCGACATTCGTTTATGTTGATAATTATGCAGTAACGGAAGATCTCATTGACAACTATAGATCATATGGTGAAATTCTGCATTGAAGTTTATGAAACTGGGATTTGGAAGAGTTGATGAGCTTTAAATTTTGATTTCCCCCCCGTTTTCTTTCCAGGTTTTGGGAACGCAAATTGTGCTTGTTGTGAAGTGATCGGGAGGCATGGAGGTCTGCTCCCATGCATACCGGTGTCTCAAGTTTGTCCGGACCGGACGAAGTATGTTTTCTGGGATCCATTCCACCCGACGGAATCGGCCGTTTTAATCGGAGCAAAGCATTTATTAGATGGTGGCCTTAAATATGTTTCACCAATCAACATCCGGCAACTTGTTAATTCTTGATGACATGTCATCATCTAATTAACGACGGTGTATGAAAATACATACTACAGTGCATCAAATATAAACATATATATCATATTATCATCTAAAAAATATTAAAAAAATTAAAAAAAATTAATTTAGAGACGAGAAATCCCTCCCGTATTAATAAATTAAGAATTTGATGTTGACTCTCCGATCAGCGTTTATTCTCTCATATTAGTTATCTTGTTTGTTTGATCAAAGTCGAGTTATGCTTCCACTATGTGGGATCGGAGTTTTATCAGATAAAATCATGTTAAATCAGAGTTCGATTGGGATCAGGTGGCGACTCTTAAGTAGTGAATCGAGATCATAGCGGTCGAAAATCCAACCCAACTCGTCCAGTTCACATTCCTAGTCAAATCATCAAAAAGGATTTAAAATAGGAAAAAGTTGCCAAGTCCGTGAACTTAAGTGGATCATTGGAAACAAAACAATTAGACGTACAAGTAAAGGCATGTGTATTTATTTAACACATAGAACTACAGAAGTGAAACCTGAAAATAGCGCACTATAATTACACAAAGAACATCAATCTCCGGCACAATGAACAGTTTGTTATCGAATGTATATATTAAGTAAAGATAGAGCTTTTGGTTGCAGAGAACGTTACACGAGCTACTTCGAAGATACACACCTCCATCTACGAGCAACAAGATGCGCTTCCTGTCAGTTCTGCAGCTCTATCCATGAGGACCATTCCAGCAGGGTTTTGTCCCGGCTGCATTCGAGGTAATTTTTTAGCTGTCGAGGGGAAAAAATTAGTTGACTGCCGACTCATTAAACAAATAATACTTTTTTTGAGGGGGAACTTAAACGAAACAACAAATTAAACTGACCTATTTCGTAGAAAATGTCATTGACATTGGATGCAGTCTTTGCAGAAGTTTCCATGAAGAAAAGGCCATTCTCTTGAGCATAAGTATTTGCTTCCTAAACCATCGAGGACAATAAGAAGTCAAATGCATGTTCGCTCGCATGTACGATGAGTTTAAACCGTAACTGCACCATGAATCTATTTGATCGTTTACCATCTCAAAGAGAAAAAGACTAGTTTGAAAGTCAATCCGAAACTACACTAATCCTAGCAGTTGTTCTACCTAAAAATGCAACTAAGAATCACTGATTACTAGTAATGCTACAATGTTTTATGTTTGAAGGGAAGTAAAAACTAATATGTGGACTCGAGTTTAAGAATCGGACATGGTATGGGTACTTTGTCTTTCCAGGTTTTTCCTAGCATTTTAAATCTTCGTAGAGCCATATAGGTATCGGTAATGGTAGTTCAAGAAAAATGAAGAGTTTAGGGAATACAGAAGAAACTAATAGCTTGCCTCGGATGCCACCTCCCTTTCTTCGAGTAAATCAACCTTGTTCCCAGCAAGTGCCGTTACCATATTAATATTTCCTTCAAAGAAAAACAAAAAGAAGAAATCAACATCGAAATT